TGCCGGTCCGACGGTCTCTTTTTCATGGAATCTTTTTCACGAAAGCTCTGCACGCAGTAGTGGATTATTTTGCTTCCCTCCAGTGAGGAAAATACATTGGTCTCTCCCGCAGGCTGCAGGAACTGATTGAGACATTACTGGCTGCGTTCACGGAACTCGATGAAAACCTGAAGACAGGTGTCACTCTCTTGCCCGACAAGGATATCCATTCTTAGCCTTGTTCTCCGCGACATACCAATTCGCTCTCGCCCAATGAATGTTTTCTGCGGCTACCCTTCAGTTTACCCAAGTGGTTGCTTTCCACTACCCTCCCCCTCCCCGTCCCCACACATACACACAAAACCTTGAGTGACTCTTTTCACCTCAACAAGTGGAAAAAAGAGGCATGGCTTTTAAGGTCCCGCTACGTTCCCTACTGCGAAGTCTCAGCACTGACTAGCGAAAACTTCAGCTTAGAAAGTACCTGAAGGACCAATATGTCAATGATGACAATGTGTATGGAGACGTCGTCGTCTTCGAGGTCGTTTTGTCCGAGGCGAGGAATTTCCATGGTGGTCAGTCCTGACAATGCCAAGCTGAACTTCTCGAGCAGCATATCCAGTGGAATGGAGATTTCGAGGCGCGAGAGCAACTGCAATAGCACTTATCATGGGTGAATTCCATAGGAAATTGGAGTAGGTAGCTGCACATTTTGACCCTATCTGCCATGGTTTTCGTTTCTATTACGCTACCAAGAAGCTCAGTCGAAATGGTAGACATAAAGAATGAAACCATTCATGAAGCTACTTCATTCTAGGAAAGACTTTACGTAATGAGCACAGTAGTAAGGCTAACTCACGTGCAACCACTGAAGAGCATTGAAGAGTTCCTGATAGTCTTTTCCGCCAAGCCTTGTACTTACAAAGTCGAAAACCTGCAACATGCTTTTAAGAATTTTCAGTTAGCGCTCAGTATCAATGAAAATTTTCTACCAACTCATAAAATCGAAGCGTTACCGATGGTGTTGGCCTGGTGACCGAGGAATATTCATGGTAAAAAAATTGGAGTCGATCAGTGGCACATCCCATAAAAAATTAGGTGTGGTCCACTTGCTCGAATATCAGTAGAGGAGGGAGAGGGACCGACAGTGAAAAGCAAAGAAAGGAAGAAAGAAAAGGAAAACCTTCGAGATCAAATTGAGGCTTCCTTTTTTTGTAGGCTGACTGTGCTACAACGAAGAGACGCTGAGTGGATAGGGCAGAAAATAGGGGAGAGGGTATGAAGGCCAAGAAGACGCGGACGTCTCATCGTTCTATAGCACGCATTAGAAGTGGCCAGTGATTCTGGGACATCAACAGCGCAGCAAATCCTTCGCGCAGTGCTGATTGTGAGCCAAGTACGACCACCATGTGCGTGCTCCAATGGTACAGCTCTAGCGCTACCCAGCTCTACCCTATCGGACGGAGAGATAGCTTTTCCTGATTTCTTAGTTGAAGCTACCTTCGAATCAGAGTGGAGACTCAGGAAATATACATCTATTGAAGTCTGGGGTTTTGCTGGCCTAATTTTTCCCCTGCAGATTTTCTTTAACGTGCAGCTTTTGTCCGTAAGAGGCTTCCTGCCCCTTGGCCAGCTTAGGCATTGAATTTTTTTGAGTCGCTGCAGAGGACGTTCCTGCATGTGCACTTTATTATTTCCAATTATTTATTTATTTCGAGTGGGACGTCCGTCATTTGATAAATGAATGTTTGCATAAATATTTGTTAGAATGTAGGCATTCAAAACTCACCATCACAGTCTCGAACGGAAGCGGGCAGAGATCGGGTTCGAAGATCTTACACAGCAAAATTTTCAAATCGTTCTGTTGTTCTTCGTTGCATTTTTCGTAGATCAGCTGAAGCAAGGCATTTATGCAGCAGGGTCTAATAGTTGCCAAGCGTTTTCCTCACCTGTAGCCATTCAGGCATCACACGACTCCACGTCTCCAGCGAGATGACATCATTACCACAAAGCCGTATGCTGTAAGTGGTTTACAATACTTCACAATTGAGCTTCTATTGCAAGATGCATAGAAGAGTTGCTGATGATTTCTCCGGTTATTTTTAAAGGCCAATTTCACGATGAAAAGACAGCCGCTAGAAATCAAAGTAGAGTTGGTCAGTGGTGCGAGAATGAAGAAAAACCAAGGAAAATAGCCTAGAGCTCGAGAAATGGCCCTTCCTGCGCTCGATCTGCACTGGATCGATTCTTCTCGAGGCTGCCTATGCTAGAGGTTATCAATTTCTCTAGCTAGTCGGCCTAGGTCAGACGGCGCAGGCGTAGGCGGGAGCGGCGCGGTTTGTTGCGGGCCAGCTGGTGGATAATCTTCCTGCGGAAACGCTTAGCCTCGCGACATTGTACAGTCGCACCACCTCCCAGTTATGTGACCCTCTTCGACCTCCGATCTTATCATGGGATCCTCCTCTAAATCTTATTATTTTATGTCGGTGCATTACATCTAAACAGATTTCATTCAGAAGCAGGTGCCACTATAAAGATTTATAAAATTGAGCATTGACGCGCGGGATTGCCACAGCATGAAACAACCCGGTCATACATCTCATTTGCGGGTGTACGTCAACAGAATCCGCCAGATCCCCGTGCTACTGATCGTGGCAGTGACGTCGCAGCTGTAGTGGACGAGTTTTCTGTGAGCGGATTTAGACTGAATTCAGCATGGATCACCAAAAGTGCTCTTCAAAGTCCAACTCATTCACTGTTCCACCCCTATTTCAAAATCCCGCGCCATTTAGAGTGCTGCCGCATCGCGACGCCACACAAGTGGCCGCACGCGGCGGCGCGACGAAAGGACGATTCTGTTGACGCTCCCCATCATTTGCTTATACAAACTACAAATCAATAAGTGTACACATACCGTGCCAATCCTTCCTTGGTTTGCTCGAAATGACGGCCTTCTTCTTCTGGACCGGGTGACAAAGCATCGATGAAAACTCCATAATGAACTCTGATCGCCATATTGATCCAATCGCAAACAAACTGCAATCATCCTTTCTAGGTGTCGAAACAGGATCAATGGTCCCTTGCCAGTGTGACTCACATCAGTTTTCAGCTGTTCCAGACTCGCTCCCATGCTGTCATTCGGCAGCAGCGCTGTTGTTGCAAACCATTGAAACACGTTATTCATAATATATGAGATCGCTTTCTGTAATATGGAAGTCGATTAATTTTTTATTCACTGAGGTCGGCATTATCAACAGATTAAGAGGAAGAAGGAATAACACCGAATGCGGAGGTCCTACAAGTTCGAATAACCCGAATTCCTCTAAACATATCTAACCAATTGCTTCCATGATCCATTACCATTATAATAGTTTCACTTCAGCGTTCTTCAGTTTTTTTTTCGTATGCACTAAACTGTTAGGAGAAGCCGGTGTGCTGGTTTTTCCGAGCGCAGGAGCAAACGAACAGCTTCGGCATTCCTTCAACACGTCGTGAGGACACCCACACCTCCGCACGCTGTAGATCGCGTGGGACAGTGCGGGACGTATGTGTCTCGCACTGTCCCACGGGTGTGTCCATGTCGCCCAATTCTCGCTTACTGCAACATTCACGTTTCGTATATTCTACTGCTCAAAATCCCATGGATGTAAGGTGAGGCGGCCGCCTTCGCAAAATCGCGCATGTCTCACACGGCCATAAAAAGCACATCAAAGGTAGAGTTTTTGGCGTTAATCGGTTCCTTTGGGACGCGTCACGCATTCCACTTCCATTTGTACATTCGCAGTGGCATTTGAATGCGACTGTGGCCCATACAATAACTTGCGGGGGCCAGCCGATGTACAAGTCAGTGTTTTTATCCTCCCAGAGATGTCTTGTACCATTCAACCAGCATCGACGGATGGAGTTTGGTGGACCTGGGCGAGATTCGATCTGAGATTTGACCATCAGACAGTGTGCAT